ATCGGCTGGATTTCGGGTGGACGAGCGGAAACACGACGCAACGCGTGCCGCACGAGACGCGGCAATTGGAAATCGAGTGGAAACCGCGCGGATCCGGTCGATTTCCGACTGATTTACCGTGCATTTACTGAATTCCAGTCCGCTACTGGAATTCCGATCGATTTCGCGAGCAGATGCCGACCGGATTTCGGTGGACCCGAGGAACCTGAGTAAAGCTCCTGACCATGGTTTATGGCAGTCCCATTCTAAGGTAGTATAATTGCCGTGGTATATGATTCATGATGATCGATAGAGCCGAAGTTTGAGCTCAATTATACAGGGAGGTGGGGGGGGGGGTGTGCTTTGAAACTCCGGACGCGCGGACCGTCTGGCAAGTTACAGGCCTTGAGCGGCATAGCCGTGTCGAGCAATAACGTACACGGGGTCATGCTTAACCTTGCATGCTAAAGTGTTGCTCATTTATGAGATTTTGGAGCATTTAAAGGGTCCCAGGAATCGAAACTAACCTCTTCGGATACATATGACCAAAAACTAATGGATATTACTAATAGACAGCATGCAATCGTATCAGCAAATCTCTACCGTCGCGATACGGGTCAAAAATTTGAGTAAGACCCGTTGTTTTAGAGGCAAGGCATGTGTTTTGGCGCGAGATTACATAGCGTAACTTGTTGCAGGCGGTGGGATTATATGGCGTAACTGTTTAGCAGCAATTCTGATACCCATAGATTCATTCGGAAAGATTATTTTGCATTTTCTAAGTCATCTCGCAAAAATTCTACTAAATTTCAAGTTTTTGCTCATCGACAGGAACGGGATTTTTTTTTGTTAAAAGGGATTTCCCAAGTGCTAAAACCTGCCCCCGATCTCCAGGCGTACCAACTTGTAGCCAATAAATTGCCATAAATTTCGTTCGTCCTTTAAAGTCTCAGAGCGTCTTAGGATCCACACGTTCCCATCCTGATGCTCAAGTTCAGACTCGCATTCAGGGCGTTAAAATACTCTAAAAAGTGAGCTTTTGATGTTGTGTTTTGCAGCGAAAAGCGGAATCCCAAGCAGCTGTGTTCTGCTCCGAGTTCCTGCGATTATAATTGGTTAAATTCCAGCTCTAACTTGCCGAAGTTGTCGGCAATAATTCACCCAATTCCGCTTCCTCCTAATGACATTTCGCCCTATTTATCACGCGTTAACGGGGGTATCGAATCGGAATCGGAAGCGCCGCAGCGACGAGACGGGCTGTCAACCTTTTTGCCCTCCTTGATGTCGTGCTGCCGTCGTCGTGCTGGTGGTTGTGCAAGCAGTGCCACTTGCCCGTTATTGGGTCGTTATATAGGTATTCAGAGGCCGGGGGAGAGCCTTCAATTTCGAGCACGAGCCCAGCAACGGGGAGACCGAGCAGCAAGACAGCGAGAGCGAGAGACCGGATAATAACCGGGAGGTAGGGAAAAGCACAGAAAAACGGTCGCCCCAAGATGGATAATCGAAAGGCAGTCGGGGGGTTGGGGGTGGAGAAGTCCGTCTGGAAACTCGGAACACCCCTACATTCGGGCATAGGTTCTAAGCGGAACCTGGGCCTAAGCTAAGCTTAAGCCTAAGCGAAGCCTAAGACTAAGCCAAGTCTAAGCTAAGCCTAAGCTAAGCCTAAGACCAAGTCTAAGCGGAGCCCAAGCATAAGTGAAGCCTAAACTCAAACCTAAGCCTAAGCCAAGCCTAAGCCTAAGTCCAAGCCAAGCCGAAGCGACCTCCGGCTCCTTTTTCGGATGCTCCTCCACTGGCTGGCCCTACTCCTCGCATTCTCTATTCCGCTATATTCCAAAATTCCCCGACATCCGAGGAATTGGCATCTGAAGCATCAGCTATATTCTAAAAATTGGAACTCGAAAAATCAGCTACATTCGAAGAATTGGAATATTAAGCATCATCAACAACAACTGCGACGACAGCGAAGAGTACGTTACTTTCCTAACCGAGTTGTCCTCCAATTTATTTGATTTTTGCTTCCCTTTTTTTCATACAAACATTTTCTGCTGTTTTGCCATCAACCCATTGGTTAAAAAATGCACTGGACTCTTTCTTTCTCGTTCCTTTAAAAGACTAGGACTAGACGAAGAGAAAGCGAGACTTCCGCCGCGCGTACATCATAAACTACGCCATTAATTGAGTATGACTCTATCATCGTACCCAATCGAGCTATGCGTGACGGTTTTGGTGTCACGGAGCTTTTCCATATCTAGTCGGACGAGGGGGTCGAATATCGCCTTTCTGCTAGCTTGTCTTAAATTCCTAGCTAACCGTGGTCTACTACCCATTTCAGGCACCCCATTGGGACATCACGAAACCGGACGGTGGACACATGCGGTTGACACCGATTCCGATAAAAAAGGAGCGGTTTTGCGATCGGATCGTGAGTTTTGGAACTACGATACTTTACTTTTCACATAATGGGTTTCATATAGAGTTGTTATTCGACCCGGGTCGAAATGGTCGAAACTTTTGTAGGCTCCCGTAGCGAAAAACTTTGTAAAATTCATAACTTTTTCTAAAGTAGAATTCCGCGATTTCGTCTTCATTTTTGATTTGTAGATCATTTCCTACATTTTGAGTCCTTAAACTATAAGTTTTCATGCTAGAATCATAAAGAACGGCCTGCTTGCCTTGTTCCGCGCGCGGCCACTTCTCGGAACCACTTCCCCCTGCCATGGTGTGCCGTTCCTTGTGATTCTAGCATGAAAACTTATAGTTTAAGGACTCAAAATGTAGGAAATGATCTCATGGAATCAAAAATGAAGACGAAATCGCGGAATTCTACTTTAGAAAAAATTATGAATTTTACAAAGTTTTCGCTGCGGGAGCCTACAAAAGTTTCGACCATTTCGACCCGGGTCGAATAACAACTCTAGTTTCATAGAAACTGGATGATTTTATTTGAGCAAAATAGGTATCCATGGTAGCACTCACTTTCTATCCCCTTTGAAACTGAATACGTACCCCCTTTATGCAAATTTTCAGCAAATCGGCAACCTCGTGTTCAGCAACGTCGCCAAGTCGATGTCCAGGCAGATGAGGAGGGTAAGCACCCCATTTTTATACTCCCTAACGATTAACTTCAGATATTCTGCGAGCTGAACTTCCGGAAACGTGGCTGGAAAGTCGACGCTAACACTTTTATCATCAGTGAGAAAAATCGGTTGGTTTTGAACTAAAACAACAAATCCAATAGCTATACTAACGTTACAGAAATATACCTTATACCAAATTCAGTTTATTACCATTGAAATTACAAGAAATAAATATGTTTTCGGTCAGCCCTGCGTGCATAGTACGCGCACGGAGATTTTTGCGAGGCAATTGGTGGAAGCCGAAGAATAAACGGATAATATTATGGAGAGATCCGGTCGACAGATTCGTCTCCATGTATGGACATTTATGCCAGTAAGTATTTATTAAAAAAGAGAGAGAGCGAGAGAGTGCGTGAGAGTGACAGAGAGAAAGTGAGAGAGAAAGTGAAAATGAGAGAGAAAGAGAGGGAGACAGAGAGCGAGAGAGAGAGTGATAATGAGAGTAGGAGCAAGACAGAGAGAGAGAGAGAGAGAGAGAGAGAGAGAGAGAGAGAGTGATAATGAGAGTGAAAGTAAGATAGAGAGAGAGAGAGAAACAAAAGTTAATTTTCTTTTTTAGTGGCCTCCAAATCTGTGGAAAAGCCGCCGAATCCGTCCACACTGCCGCTAAAAGCTTCTATAAAATACTAAAAGATGGAAAATACCCCGCTGGAGTGAAGGATCGGGCTAATCTACGCCATCATATCGTCCCTACTACTTGGTAAATCCAACTGCCATTTCTAAAGTTCCATGGAAGGCAAAAACCAACGCATTTAAGCGCTTAAATTTTTAGCTGAGTCGATTTTTCAGTGCTTTTTAACCAGCGCTTAAAACTACAGGTTTATTGGATTTAAAAACCGCTAAAATATGAATTTTTGAATTTTTAGGTACTGTGGGATCGGGGAGGAGCCCAAGAAATATATTCCCATCGAATATACTTTGGACTCGAAGAAAATGATCAGCAGATTGCGGCCCCATTTTCGGCATAGCGGAATTTCCGGGAAATGGATTGATACTGTAAGTCGACATTCTTACGTGCTTTAAGGCGTGGAGACAGCTAGTTTCCAGGCTTACAGAGTTGCCAAATTTTTTGCGAACCAAAAATTTGCTAATAAACATTTTAAGAAGCTTTCTAAAGTCTTTCAAGAGACCCTTACTTACAATTTTCAGTGCCTTGAAAAATTGTCCGGAAATTCACACCAATGATTTTAAAGCTTTTAAATTAAGCAAAGAAAAAAACAGCTAAAAAGCATTTTCAGGCTCTCTCCCGGCTCCTGACCACCAACAACAACAAGTACCGAAAACTTCCGGAATTTGCCGGAATCCGCGAGGGATGGATGCGGGATGTCTTGAGCAATCGAACAACAATGTCTTATATTATTGCCGCGTACTATTATGATTACCGGCTTTTTGGGAAACCGCTGCCAAAATTGCCACCAAAATAGAGATATCGAATTTATAGGAATATTTAATTGTTTCGGATATATCTCCTTAATTTCCTTTATTTAGTGTTAGTTTTTAATTCTTCAAAAAACGCTTGATTTATAAAATTAGAAAAACTGAATCGATTCGGAACATTTTCCAAAAAATCGACTATGTTACGCTACGGAATTACGGTACAAATTCTCTAATTTTCCGCGTTTTCCTAATTGCTAGTCTTGTATTTACAAAGTTGCGGTATATTTCTCATTTCCTAGCTCTTCTAGTTACGACTACGTTAAGCTACGCAATTACGGTATATAGTCTTTTTCACTTATTTATATGGCGTCTTTTGCGATGCATTTTTCGCTCCGGGTAAACTATACATATCTATTTATTCTACACTAACACTAACACTTCTAACAATAAATAAATGGCAGTTTTGAAACATTTTTCAGCACCCGTTGCTGTACTTTACATTCAAAATCCTCTGACATGCATATCCAGTGAAAGACGGCCTCGAATATTCTTTACGTTGTAAACGACCATCTTTGCAAAAACACGGTCGCTGATTTGGGCTATTTTCTAAACGTAAAAATTATGGAAAGGAGTGAAAAATCATGTCCATTTCTCTGCTTCACTCTCTCTCTCTCTCTCTCTCTCGTTCTCGCTCCGGCTTGCTTTCTCTCTCTCTCTCTCTCTCTCTCTCTCTCTCTCTCTCTCTCGCTCTTGCTTTCTCTCTCTCTCTCTCTCTCTCTCTCTCTCTCTCTCTCGTTGTCGCTCTTGCTTTCTCTATCTCTATCTCTCTCTCGCTCTCTATTTTTCACTCTCTCGCTCTCTAACTTACCATACACAACGGCACCAAGTTCATCAGCACCGACAAGCGCTCCGTTTGAAAGTCGGTAGTTTTTTCTTTGTACTGATCAGATAAATGCTGAACATCGAATATTAATTTTCTAGCGTTAGGGTATTATTATTTACCTTAACAAGAACACTCTCCCACTTCCGCTTCGATTTCCGGACGGCTTCCTGGCCGGAATCGGAGAGGGAAGGGGCTAGAAACCAGTAGGTAAGGTTTAAGCCCGCGATCCAGAGGTAAAAAATGGCTAAAAATTACGCGAAAACTTACGGGAAGTGAAAAACAATATTTTCTTAATAATGACATATTCCTCTTCGGTAATGGCTGCTTTTTTGAAGATGCTAACAATGTTAGAATCCATATAGTCGGCTAGGGTGTTGCAGAAACTCGTGTAGCTGGAAAAAGGTCGATTGGTTACGAGACTATTCCAAGTAACTCCTTGATTTCAAGGATAGAGGGAACGAGAGAGAGAGAGAGAGAGAGAGAGAGAGAGAGAGAGAGAGTGAGTGAGTGAGAGAGAAATAAAGCACGAGAGAGAAAAAGCGAAAGAGCGAGAGAGAGCAAGATCAAAATAGAACTTACAGATTATTGGCTTTATGCCTCCCATGGATACGCATTCCATGATTAAATGCCAGCCCATCGACTCCGAGACGATACGAATTGTACGCCGATGAAAATAGGACCACACTGGCGCCGGTGGCACAGAGGTGGAGTGTCTGGAAAGAATTTTGGTTACACAAAACCTAAGGTCGAGGTGGTTCGTTATGGGACCCAGCCCATTTTGTGCAGAATTATTTGCTGATTCCGAACCCGCTTTCAATTTTTGCCAAATAGCCCGATTCAGAAAGTTACGGCGATTTTAAGATCATATTTGAGCCCGCGGGCGGTCATCTGTCACGCTGCACAACATTTTTGTTTTAATATGCCAATCCATTTTAAATAGCCTATCTTGTAGAGAATTTTTTTCTGATTCGAATGGTATATTTGATTACTGCGCTACTGCCTATCGATGATCACTTATGGGAGGGTGAAATAGCCTGTTTTTCACCATTTCCCATACAAAAAACGAAGTCCATCGTATCGTCGATATTTTCGATTTCCAACAATTTTGAGCTAAATAGCTCATTCGATAGAGAAAAATTTTCTGAATATGATGGCGATATTCGTTTTTGATGAATCATCCGGGAAGTGCAAAATAAATGGCTTTGAAGTTGACAAATTTGGGAAAAAATGGAACTTTGAAGCGCTATAACTTTTTAAAACGAGCTATTTGGCAAAAATGAGCAGCGGATTCGGAATCAGCAAAAAATTCTGCACAAAGTGGGCCGGGTCCCATAACGATATTCATATTTGAAGGAGCAAGCAAGCAGAGGAATTCAAGGAAGATCATGTCGTATTCAGTGCTGCTTTACGTATCCTTGTATTCGTCCCGTAACCCGTGCCGGTTTGCTGGCGAACTGTTTATGTATTGTACAGACCCACGACCACACTTTAAAGAAATTTTTAACAGCATAGGTCTATCCGATCGAAAAAAGATTCTTGCAGCAACAGTCAGCCTTACATGGTCCTTTAAAGTTGCGTCGATTCCGTTCACCGACGGCTGCGCAAGCTTGAATTGACGCATGGAATCGTGTTTCCATACGAACAAAATGAGCGATTGGACGGGGAAATGCACATACAGACATTCTGTCAGGGATATGGCTGGAAACCGATTCTTGCACGAAAAACGCAGGCAAGGTAAGTTTTTTGAAATTTTATACAATGCGGCAATTCGTATCTTGGCTTTCCGTTCTTGCTTGGATGTCGACAACTCCACGAGCTTCAATTTCTGATGGGAAAAAGCAGGTTTTATCTTTTTCTGGCCCCCTAATCGAAAGTCTGGGCGCGATTCACGCTTCCGGTGTTTTGGTTTCCATCCAAGAACTGCCCTGCCCGGCGCGACCTTTCCGTATTTTGGAAAATCCCGTACCTAGTTTTCTCTCATTTTTCCGGGTGGACTCTTGTGAGGAGCGTTCTTTGGCGCCTATTTTCAAGGGGTTGAAAAGATATCCCGGGCCCGGGCTGGCCATTTGCGCACTCGGGTCAAGAGCACGGACATTTGTGGGATGTCTCGGATTGACATCACTTTAGTTGGTGGAAGACGGAAATGCCAGACGGGGCACAGAGAGAGGGTGAGAGAGAGAAAGAGAGAAAGAGAGAAAGAGACAGAGTGAGAGAGAAAGAGCGAGAGCGAAAGAAAGAGAAAGAGAGAAGCACAGACTTGGATAAAAAGGCAGACAGCTTTTTTGGGCAAGTTGGCGAGCTCCTTGACCTCACGCGCTCCCAAAGATCGTCCCAATAGACGTCACGTAGGCTCCAGCTGGATTTAGGTTTTTGGATCTTGATTCTCCTCTCTTCCTCTTTCGCTCTTTCGCTCGCTCTCTCTCTTCTCTCTCTCTCTCCCCATCTCTTTCGCTTTCTTGCTCCCTTGCTCGCTCTCTCCTCTCTCCTCTCTCTCTCTCTCTCTATCTCTTTCTTCTTGCTCAAGCCTCTCGCTCTCTCTCTCTCTCTCTCTCTCCTCTCTCCTCTCTCTCGTCTCTCTCCGTCTCTCTCTCATTTCTCGCTTTCCGCTCTCTCATTCCTCACCTCCGCTCTCTCTCTCTTTCAGCTCTTTGCTCGCTCTCTCGTAGTCTCTCTCTCTCTCTCTCTCTCTCTCTCTATCTCTCTCTCTAGCTCGCTCTCCCCTCTCTCTCGCTCTATCCCCCGCCTCTCTCTCTCTCTCTCTCTCTCTGTCTCTCTCTCGTTCTCCTGCTTTTGTCTCACTTGTTTTCGAGTGCTCAACCGGAAAACGTGCATTTTTTCTGCACCCATTGATGTCCTTGTTTTTCATCCCCCCAACATTTCTCGGTAAGGAATACGACCCGATAAAAATCCCCGCGGCAAGAGGCAAGAGTAGCTGGCTAGGGTGGGCTGGTTTCCGATCCCTCTAGCGTCCCTAGGCGACTCGCTTTCCACTATTCCTCAGAAAGAGAGGAGGAGGTAGCTACCGTCTTGTCGCGTAGTTCTTCTCGTAATTTTTCGTTATTAACGAATTTACCCTAAATTTCAAAAATTAATAAGCCGTTGGACCCAAACCGATATTTCGTCAAAAACTGGAAAGCGTTTGGCCATCAAAATCGAGCCGTTCAACACCATACTGCCAAAAAACTTCAACGACAAGTGGCTGTCCGAAGCTGTGTGGGCCGTGTTCTCTCCACGAACGCTACGTACGCTTTGACGCTATGATTGTCACCTTTTTTGGCATTGACAGTACGTAGAACGCTCAAACTTTGAGAGTACAGAGTTAGCTGCTTTCTGCGCCCCGTTATTCTCGGTTTCTGGTTCTTTCTGGTTCCGTAAGGTCCGTACATCGAGTTTCGGCATGTATAAATCTGGTCCCTGGCGCCTAATTTGGATCGCAAAGGGTTCGTCACGACCTGTGCCCTCCCTCCCACTAGCATTCCCATGGGTCGATGATCAACACACAGCCTGTAGTCCGGTCCTCCGGCATGTCTTGCTCATGCTCATGCTCATGTCCGTAGGAGCCTTTCGTACAACCCGATCCCTTTAGGGGATCCTGCTACCCAGAATCAGCTGTTAGGGATGAGAGAGAGAGAGAGAGAGAGAGAGAGAGAGAGAGGCAGAGAGAGCGAGAGAGGGAGATGGCTAGAGATGCAGAGAAGCCACCAGAAACCGAATGAAACAATATGGAACGAACAGCGAAAAGAAGCGTACTAAAGAAATAGTGAGGCATAACGAGCGACGCAGGGTGAGAGAGGGGGAGAGAGAGAAAGAAAGAGAGAGAGAGAGACACATTGAATCATAGAAACACCCACCCGATCGCCCTCATCGAGCTTCCACACCTCGGGAGATCCCCTCGCCCAGTCGAGAAAGTGGACGAACGGAGCGACAGTACAGGAGCTCCTGGAAATTGGGGGTGTTAGAGCACGGCAAGTACACGACAATCCTGTACACGAAGAGAGAGAGAGAGCTAGAGAGAAGAGAGTGAGAAATGCGCATATGGATCTTCGAGCCTCGCATATCTCAACCGGCGATCAGTCGCCGCTCTCACGTATACAGGGCGCGAATAATTTGCATATTTCTGAGTTCAAAGAATCAAGGATTTTACAGGGAGGAGCAAGGGATGACTTGGGTTTTTGGCTGTGGATTTTCCATGGATACTGCCGGGCGTATGACACGCACGCGTGAGAATCCTTTGCGTAATCGATTGCGCCCTGTAACGACCGTGAGGAGCGTGGCGCGACCGTGGCGAAATCCATAGCTCAGAAATACCATAAAAATGCCTTTCCCGTACTTTTAAAGGAACAGACAAGGCACCAGGCTACTGGATTTTTGGTTATCGTTGGAAATCCTTTAAAGGGATTAGCTCGGTGGGCGATAATATTTTCGAAAATTTTTTCGAAAATCATACTCTCGAAAGTTTTTTTTAATATTTTCGTATGTTCATAAAAAACTGTTTTCTATTGATAGCTGGGCGCAAATTTTCGATAATCTGACTTTTCGAAAAATGACTTCGAAAATATGTACGCAAATCGTGGGATCAATGAAAAACAAGCAAAAACACACAATAAATACCAACCTCAACTGCTCCGAAAACCCGGAAGTAACAAGCGGCTTCTCGGCGCAGTACATCATCTACCCTTTGGATGTGATCAATTCGAAAAAAGCGTTGCCTTACCGGTGTCCGATCGCAAATCTTGAGCGGATCTTGAAAACCCTCTCCAACAGATACCTCCATGTCATACCGTAACCCATCCCCGGATATCGTAGACGTGCTCGGCTCGTCTGGATCGCAGAATCTAAGGAGTTTTGTACGGATCGGAATATGAAGATCGGATCGGAATAAAGTGTAGTCAGGTACCGTAACCGGGGATTGGCTAGCGTAGTCAGTTCCCAAATTAGAATAATTTCAAGTCAATTTCATGCATTTTTACGATGTTTGAGTCTAATTTTGACGCAGTTTAATTTGCAGTCTTATGGTCGGCTGGCACTTGATAAAATGAGCACAATCCTAAGGCGAAAATGAACCCGAAAAGGCCGCAAATCCCTCGTGTAAAAGAGGAGGGTCCTGTACGCCGAGTTCGGGCTACGCCGGGATCCTTTGAACTTTGTCAAAATGTGCGTATTTTGCTCTTAATTTTTTGCTTTTACTGAGAAAAATAGTCAGCAACCGTAGTCTCGTACCTCTCCAGCTCGATCAGCCCGCTAATCTCATCCTTGGAGATCTTCAACTTCTTGAAGAGGGTCGTGAAGGAAGATGCGCCGGCGCAGAGCCTCTAAGAGATTACATTAGAGGGATTAGGAAGGTAGAGGAGAAAAACGCTTCCTTACATTTAAAATTTCAAAAAGTATAAGCAAGCCCGATTACAGTAGGATCCGAAAATCGAGGAAAGATAGTATGATTCGTATCACCTATTTTTTTGTAGGAATGAATTTTAGTAACATTACCTAACCTTCCCAGGCCAAGATAACTGGTGATAAAAATAAAAAAAGAGCTTCGTTGTGGAATTTATAAAACGTATAGTAGAAAAACCAGGTTTCTGCAACAACTTGGTTCGGTTCTTAGCCACCTATTTCCGACTGTCAGCGCAAATTAGCGCCCATCACTCGAAAAGTACCCAACCACTACCGTAACCCCGCCCTCAAAGTGCTACCGTACTCGTGATTCGAGTTGAGGCACTGCCGCTCCTCCAAGCATCGCCAAGGGGATATCAGAAACTTTCGGTGGTCGACGCATCGCTCCCTCTTTCTTGCCGACCACTAAAATAGCAGAAATTTAATTCGTCGTTTTTAATCGGGTAATTTAGAGCAAAATTTTGATGGAGAAACTTGAAAAAATAGAAAATATGCACTACGAATGATGAAAACATACTTGACGGCTTCATCCCCGCCGCGATACAACGTTGAAACCGGCAGAAACGACATTTCGATACTGAAAACGTTCTATTAAATTTTATGACTTCTTCAGCTTACAATTTCTACACTGATTATCCTTCTCGCAAAGTACAGCCGAAGCCGACATGACGGCGCGCAGGAAGAATATTTTACAACCTCTAAAATTTTTTAATATTTGTATGTCGGCTTTAGGTCTCTAAATAGCTTCTATGCGGTGCTTTACGATTTGCTATCGTATACCCACCCACACGTAACGGCACCGTAGTGGAGGGCGGCTGATGGGGCACGACACACCCGACACGATTCGCCGAATTGAGCCACTGCCGCATCGAGGTCTACTGTAAGGGAGCACAGATTAGGAGGACTGAGATTTTCCAATTCTTGGCTTCGAGTTGTTTATTCACTGAAAGCTAACCTAGAAGAGTAAACTTCTTTGTGTTTTGAAAATTAGGGTTTAGGTATCGGAACTTCATTTGGCAATACCTATTTTTCTTATTTTTCTTATGTACCTAATTAGAGCCTATTTTTCGATAGATATTCTGGAATCCCAGTTCCTTGATTGATTTCTTTTTTCGAAAATCCAAAGGGGGCAGCCAAGACACGGCGTTGATTTGCATTCTTGGCCTCTTGCATCTGGAGGCCGTAGGAAAGAAAATTAATAGCTACGCATTGCCAATCTCGTTAAAGAAAGTAGAGAGCCAAGATGCGGAGGTGTTGGCAAATCGCCAAATCGCCAAAAATGGCTTCCGACAGCCGTGACGAAGGCTTTGAAAAGTCAAGATACATCCTGACTTTTTGCCAGGCTCTAGTTGGATGGAATGCTGCTTTCCCAATTGCTTTAAACCCATTTAAAAGTGCCGCACGCAGGAAAACCGCCGTTTTAACACACCACCCACAAAACTACTTTTGATCGAAGGCTACTCCCGAATTGGGGCGCCAAAACCGACCCTTTTCCGGCTTTATGTCCCGCTCTTCTGAAGTCGAAGGTCGTTCGCCATCGTTTGCTTCGATGTCATTTTCGGACATCCACGGGCCTAAGGTAGAGCTTTAAAGCAAAAGTTAGAAATGTAAACAGTGAACAAAAACAGAAAGAAAATCAAACCCCGCTTCGAAAAATTTTAAAGTAGCGGGGTCTCTTAAAGCGCTCTTTCAGGTAATGCTACGCAAACGCCTAGTTACGCCCACAAGCAAGTCAAAAAGAGACACGACGACGTCAATCGGTGACGTTCCTTGATTTGATGCGTTCCTTAAAATATCGGGCGTTAAACAGAATGCATCGCGGTTAAAAAGCTTGCGCTGCTTGCCGAAATCACGTAACCGCACGTGCAATCTTGTATCGTGCCGGCGCTACCGTAACCTACGGGGGCGGGAAACCGGTGGCCGTAGGGGGGATGCTGAGGAGAAGCTCTACGAGGCTACGAGCGCCCAAAAAAATGCAATGAACGTGGGTGGGCTTGATTAGAGGGCAGCTTCTGCAGTTGCAAAGGTGGTGTGCTTTGATCAGCTACTTTGAAAAAACTGAAAAAATAGTCTACAAACAAAAATGCGTAATTTCAAAACATAGAATATGGTGGCGGTTTCTAAAATGCACTCTCCCACCAACGCACAAAAACCAAAATAAATCAGCGCTGCCGCGCGCGAGCGGGCAGCGCGTCCGCTCTCTGGCCCTCTAGAGTCCATTTACGGGGATGAGGGGTGGAGAGATCAAAAAGTCGCGAGGAGGGGGCGGAGCCAAAGGGTTATCTCGAAATTTCTAAAGATAGTCAACAAGTCGTAAAAGTCGTATTAAAAGGCCTAGAAATTAGTCAAAAATACGAGAGTAGTAAGAGTGGTAGCACGTACGTGAGTAGTCGAAAATTTGGATTTTGACAGACATCCGCGATGCGACCGAAAGATCGGGGACGTCGTGCAGAGAAATTCGACAAAAAACGAACGGATACAAACAGACGGAGGAGGGAGACTAGCCTAGATTTGGAATTAACGTGGTGCCACAAAAAAAGCCGTCCGGCTTCCTGCAGCTATTTAAAAAGTCAGGAAAAGCATAAAAAATCGGCCAATTCCCTAAGAAAAAATCCACAAAAAAACGATTTCCAAAATTGCGTGTGGACACGCAATCTGTACAGTTTTCGGGAATGACTTTGGCGCTGCGTAGCCAGGGCCCTTTTATGAATTTAAATCGTAAGTGAAGTCCCGTCCACCATCACGACTTTTCGAATTTATTTAAAGGAACATGCAAGGCAAGAATAAGCAATCCTCAATCATTTGTCAGCGGAGTCGTCGTAATTTGTGTCTCTTCGTACATTACGCTATATGAGGGTTGACCCAAGCTTTGCAGGACCTTTGTCCTCTGCAAAGTTATGCCTACAGCTATTCAGATAAAGAAAAAATGAGCAAGCAAAGAAGCTTACAGTAAGATCGCCTTTTTAATTTAATACACAATTTAATACAATACACCATTCTGCAAGTTAAATAAACAAAAATAGGCCAAAAAACAACCCTATTTTTACACAACGACATTACAACAATTAATAACGCCTAACAGAAAGGCAGTACAATGTAAGCAATGTATTCATTTAGCTAAATAAACAAAGACACGCAAAAACCGCCGCCCAACAGGACAAAATCCTTAAAAATACAGGGCTAAAAACGTTCCACTACACGCCAAATTACGAGACAGAATAACAGCACCTCACAAAATAAAGGTAGTGCTCGATCATTCATCGAATTTTTTCCCTAAATAAATAAGAACGCGCAAAAACCTCGTCTCAACAGGATGAAAGCTCTAAAAATTAAACGTTTTGCTATACGCCACAACACGATGAAAAACGTACACCACATCCTAAAACCACAATCAGACACACAACTTTATTGCATTTTTTACCCAAATAAACAAAAACGCACAAAGAACGGCGTTCCACCCGACACGCCAGAGGACGACCGTAGCCGTAGTCTCTCCCCCTCCCCCCGAGGAGCCTTGGGGGTTGAGCATGAGCTCGAGCCCGCGGCTGCAGCAGTGAGATCCGGAGATCCTCCTCCCCCACCTTTTCCTGCTCTTTCTTTCCCCCTCTTCTTTGCCCTCCCCTTTTGAATGTATCTCCGGGGATCTCTGCCCCCTCTTGAAAAGCCACCCCCCGGTTTGACGCTTTAAAATTCGGCCAATCGGCACGCCGTGTTCGCCGAACGGGCCGCCCCGTTCTGACGTCAAAGGTGGGGCGCGCGCGAGAGGGCTGGGCGCGTGTGTATGGGCCTGTGGGGCTACGTGCTACCACTATATCCATGCACCCGATTCAGCGGCCCCATCCCACAGGAAGGGACATCATGGCTTGAGGCTAATCTGATTAGTCGCTTTTTTGGCTGTGGCTCAGTCGCCTGCAACTGTAGGAGATCAGACCGCGCTTCCGGAGGATGACCAAAATTCTTCTCGTCATGCTAATTGGGGTTAAAGGGAGCGTGACATAAGATTTCCGCTTTTTGGGTTAGCTACTACGCGCGCTCTCTCTCTCTCTCTCTCTCTCTCTCTCTCTCTCTCTCTCTCTCTCTGTCATGCTCTCTCTCACCCTCTCTCGCACTTTTTCTGTCTATCTCTACTCTGCTAGTACAGCAAGTAGTAAAATTTTGCGTCATCGCGCAGCAATTTAAAAGGTTTAAATTTCCAAGATCTTCCGCTGCTCATATTTCGCTCTCTCTCTCTCTCTCTCTCTCTCTCTCTCTATCGCTCTCTCGCCCATGCTCCACTATCTCTCGCTCATGCTATCATTGTCTCCATAGCTCCGCTCTCTCTCTCTCTCTCTCTCTCTCTCTCTCTCTCTCTCTCTCTCTTACTTTCCCTCTGTCTATTGTTACCCCGCTACTGCCTGTCTAACTGTCTGTTTGTCTCCCTCTCTCGCTCTCGCTCTCTCTCTCTCTCTCTCTCTCTCTCTCTCTCTCTCTCCTCCGCTCCATCGCTTCATTTATTGCACTCAAGCTCGGCACCTTCTTAAAACCTAGCTTTTCTAGCGAATTTGCAACCGGGTCAGAACCATTATTTGTACTTTTGCAAAAAGCTTTAATACACTTTATCACCACCACCGTAAGAGAAATTCATCAACCTGCAAATCATAGTCACCGGAAACAACAAACAAATTCAACAACACGTCAATGGAAAAATCAACGGAAAATCGGGAATAAAAATCACAAAAAAGGCAAGAAAATTACATCCCGAAAGATTCCCTGACATCCGGGTGGCCCGCGTCGAGCGGCTTCAGAAGATCGCTCAAGTCTGAAAGCAAATTGCGATAGTTAAATTTAATTAGAAAATTTAGATTAAAACAGTCATTTTAAAAGATTAAAATGTTTAAAAAATTTATTTTTAGTTTAATTTTTAATCTTTAAGGATTTTACAATGTAAAAACTAGCATAATTTGAAAAACTCAAAGTATAAACCCACATTCCTGCTCCTCGTCCTCCAAAAGCAACACGGCCATCGGGATACCGTCAACTCGAGACAGGACACCCAGAAACGCTTGTAGCTGATCAGTTCGCGAAGTTCTAAAAATTCAAAAAATAAGTAAAAAATTAAACTCACAAATCCAGCTTTTTCAACCCTCCCAAAAAGAGCTGCAGATGTCGCGTCTCGAAGAGCCCATCGAACAGGAAACGAATTTTGCTGATGGGCACGCTCTGAAAAAAATTAAACTTGAATGAAGATTGTAAAAAAAATCCAAAAATGAAACTGTAATTAAGATGTAATACTGGGAAAATCTAATCAAAACGTAGAAAAACTGATCTTTAATGAAATTTTAATACTGGGAAAATCTAATTAAAAAGTAAAAAAAATTAAAGTGGAAAAGCTTAAAATAAAATTAAACGTCTATGGAAACATAAAAAAGGAAAAGTTTAATTTAATTACAAACGTTGGAAAATTTAATGTCGTTTCCGCTTTTAAAAACGTACCAAGCAATACTCTGCAAAATCCTCGGGCCATGCGCGAAGCTTGGAGTAGGCCGTCTCAAAATCGGCGAATACCTAATTAATAGAAATTAGCATGTAACAATTTGAACTTACAGTAGGCCGGGACAGCGATTCAGGTTGCGCAGGCTCAACCGGAACGGACGTAGCTGTAGCCGGTGCTTCGCTCTAAAAATCCACACTTCATGAAGGCAAAAATTCCCTACCGTACTCGCCACCTCACCAACCCGCTTAATTTCGCATTCCACCCACGGCTCGTCCGCACCGCCGAATTCTTCCCCCTTGCTGACCTCTGGCAGGATTACTTGAGGGACGTTTTGCTAAAAATCAAATTTTCAAGGAATTTTACAAATTTAAAAACGCGTTTTCGAAACTTTTTCGCAAAGCCGACTGGACAAAATTTTTCTCGTATAAATAAATAGTTTTCTCGTTTTCTAAATAAATTTAACCTGAAATATAACTGTTCAAAAAATAGCCTGAAAATGACTGTTAATTTACTAGGTGAATCGGGACAAAAAAAGCAATTTGACACCTTGTTCCCAATCTTCTCCTTCATCGCGTGCGCTGCTGGGTCGTTGGTGATCCCGATTAGACGGTCCAAATCCGCCACCGCCATCTGGTGAAGCCCGAGCGCGTCCAGGGCGATGGCTCGTCTAAAAAACAAAATAAATTTAATATAGGATTTTACCGATATAGCGCCTTGGTGAGCTTGTCATCAAGCTGCAGCGCGCGATTACAATCCATCAACGCCTCGCTCCACTTTTTCAGGTTGATGTACGACTGGGCGCGATTTCCTGGAAAATACAGATTATGAAGCCGAAAATCTACCAAAAAGCTTCTATAGCTATTTTTAAAAGACCCGTTGCGTAACTTTTTTTTGTCACGATTCCGAAGGACAAAAATTACGAATTTTTGTAAAAATAGAAAAAAAATTTTTTTGCCTAAAAATTCCGATTTTTTAAACATTTTGCTGATTTTTTATAGTAGTTTTTCATTAAAAACAAATCTAAATGTTATCAAAATCCGTATAAAACCGAATGATATTTCATTACTAGGAATATCTTGATACTTAGCAACGAGAAAATGAAAAATAATAAGTTTTTCGTTCGACAACTATTATTCTAAACAAACGTAACAAAAACCTCACCAAAAACCAGCTTATCGGGCCTGATCTCGAGCGACGTGGTGTACTCGACGATGGCGTTGTGGTAGTGGTGCTTGCGGAAATATTCGTTGCCCCTCTCCTTGTGCACAAGCGCCGAATCCTTGACGACCCCCGGCAGCTCGTCGGCGATGCCCATTTTCCTGAAATTAAATTTATACATGTAACTTCAAAACAACCTAGACGAACAAAGGAAGGAACGAGAAAAAATAAAGAAACGGAAAACAGTGGAAACAATGAGGAAATCTAACGGAAAATATGGAAAAGTTGACCTATGCGTTTTTCCACATAAAACTATCAACTTTTCAGCGATATTCCAACTACAAAAACAAAGTAAAGCCTAGCGAACAGGGGGGAATATTTGGTTTTTTAGTCTCCAGAGGGGCACGAGCTTTTCTAACTTGCTATTTTTAAAATATAGATAAATGAAGTATTTTTTACTATTTCTGAAAGTAAAAATTTTACAATGTTTTTCTAAGAACCAATAAAAACGGTTTTTCGACGTAAGCTCGACGATTTTGGACCGAAATTGAGGTCCTAAAGCGTTTTTGAAACTTCTAAATGTTTTCCCCGCCAGAAATATCGCTAAATTTTACTACAAATGTTATTTACTCTTCCTAAACGTAAAAAGGTTACAAATTCTAATTAAAAGCTCAAAAAACTAGATTTTGCGCCATTATTCATTGTTCAAGCGCTTTGTAAGTTTCCTAAATTGTTTTTCCGTTTGTAACAAACGTATATTTTGCTACCAAACTTATTGCCGGTTTATTATCACGTTCCCAGGCATATCTGGACCCATAGGAGGAAAAATTCGATCCCCTTGGAAATACTAAAGAACCAAAAATTTAATGGGAAGTATAAAAACAATTTGGGACCATCAAAAAAAGTAGAAAACAAATCAATCCTTGCTCTCCGCGCCGTCTTTCCCGTCTCCTTTCGCCGCCTTGAAGCACTCGGTGCGCATCGCACAATCCATAAAGGCCATCATCTCGTCCGCACAAGCCCCGGCCTCCATATCGGCATCGGACGCCTTCTTCTGGCACGTGATTACGTTGCGAAACTCGAATCCGCACGGGCTGGCGACGAGGTGCCCGACGCAATGGCACTCAAAGTTCATCGACCCATCCGCTTTGGTGGGGCCAGGGTTGAAGGAGGGATACACGTCCTCGGAGGGCGTCTCGGCTATCTTTTTGATGTACTCATCCTGGATCGGCTCCCAGAACTCCTGCTCGCCGATGAAGTACAACTGGTCCTTTTGCTGCGAGATTGAGGTGGCGCTCGATGAGCCGTCCGAGGAGGAGGAGGAGGCGGATTGGGAAGCCATTTTTGCCTGAAAAAGTGGAATGATTTGGCTAATTTTTGGGGATGAGGCTTGGAAAACAAGGGCCAGCTTCCGTTTTTTAATGTATCCAGGGTATTTTTTAGGATCTATTTTTCCCCAAATAAATACATGAAGTATTTCTCAACGGGGTTTTACTATGCTAAAAGCGAAAATGTAAAATTGTTGATCAAAACATTAACAGGATATAATGAAAACCATGAAAACATTTTTATACGATTTTTCCGGCAAAATTTGTCTATTTCGAGCAATTTTTTCAATTTTCCAAAGTAAATAAAGGAAATGCTTTTATATATTTTCTACGATTCTTGACGCAAAAATTCAGAATTGAGAAAAAACCAAAAATTCGATTTCTAGACCCAAAATGACCGATTTTAGAAAAATCCCGAGATTTTCTAAGCTATTTTTCCATTTTAAATGACTACATTTTACAAAAAGCGTAGTAAAATAGTTCAAATAGAAATTCAGTTGAACCGCGGCTTCAACTTAAAGCCTTCGCCTCATCAAAAAAAATCTATTTTTCATCCGACACTCTCATTTTGGGAAATACAACCCGTAATGATTCTTTTTAACAAAATCTTAATATCCATAAATCCGTTTATTTTCACCAATAAAAAATGGCACAACCATACGTTTCGTAAAGCCAGAACACAGTAGGATCATCGTCGTCACAAAACCCGAGGCAACAACGGGCAGCAGGGAATGAGCATGAGCAAAAAAAAGCACAAAATGGTAACTACGATAGTTAATTTAAGTAGAACAACCCGAAAAAAATTAATTTTACAAGCAAAAGTGAAAAGCCACAATTACACAGCCCGTCCATAGTACAAATTTGTAAAGGCACGGAGGAAGAAGTTTCCGGCGACAACCGGCAGGATTAATTCGGTCCAGTAATAGTAGTAAAGCGACGCGGTGATGAGGATTCCGGCCTTCCACGGCCATCCGTAGCCGAACAGTCGCCAGATCGAGCCGATGATCGGCGCGAGCAGAGGCGCAAAGATCGGGATTAGGACGGCGAACTAAAAAATATTTTTAGAAAATTGAAACAGCGTCAAAAACCGCTTCGCGGCTTTTCGACGATCGCCCCGTTTTTGCATAGCTTGCAAGAAGCAAAAACCCCAAAAGAGCCCGCCCAATTTTTAATTTGACCTACCTTTCCCATCCATTTAAATTTCTTCTAAAAAAGGGTCAGTGAATTATTCGGCAAAACGGCATTTCAATAAATACTTTTTCAACGCAAATTGTGTCGAAAAAATCTTTTGAATTCTTGGGGGGAGACCGAACTTTTCCTAAAATTTAGAAAACGAAATGCCTAATAACAACAATAAGTATTATATCATTAAGTATCATTATACTATACTAATCCTACTATATATAAAAAAATAGTGTCTGTGTGTGTGTGTGTGTGCCACTTTGCATCCACTTCCGTCTGTCTGTCCGGAGGATATCTCAAGAAGGGACGGGTATTAGGCTACGTATGATACGTCATGAGGTGCGTAATGGTCTAGGGATGACTGCACACATATCAGATTTTGAAAAATTAGCCATTTTCGCTACTAAATTTAGGTTTTTGTAAAAAGCTCTTTGTTAGGGATAATTCGCATAGACCGGAAGTGGGTGGTCGCCTATATAAAGAGGCAGAAAGGGTAGTTTTCATTTTTTTTGTCTCCTGAATGGAGGACAATTATGCAAAGGGCAGAATAGTATGGGATCCGAGACGGGGCCAGAAAGAACCAGGGTTGAAAAGTCGCGAAGCGGCTTTTCAACCCTGGTATATACTAATATCATTAGTATATCATTAAGCCCTTAGTAAAATGTCATTTTATTTGTAGTGGCAACACAAACCGAAACCTTTAATAAAGATTTTAAGCCGAAAATTGGCCTTTTTTGTCGAAAAACGATATTTTTTGTTTTTTTTTTCATAAAGATTAAACTTTGATATTGCGAAAGAACCAAATAGATAAAACCTAATTGCAAAAAAAAATTGAACCAAATAATTCATTGCTAAAATTCACCTTTTGATCTTGCGGGAAGTAGAGGAGGGCGAGAAGTGATGGATCGGCGAGTGCGCTGTCAGCCTAAAAGGGAGATTTACGTAAGGTTCTAATGTTCGAAAATTGTTGAGATTGCAATATTATTAAATAGGAGGTTCCAAGAGCAAAGCTTCGCTTTAAAGGGATGCCGACGGCATAGACAATCGGTTACGCGCGGAAAAGAAAATGTCTCTGCGCCTCTCCCCTGGGCGCGCTCTCTCCCCTGTTGGCTACTTGCCAATTTGTTGATGAGGGGGGATCGACACATGCCGTCGGCAGCCCTTTAAGCGATTTTTGAAGCTAAAAACCCACCAATTTCCTGGCCTTCGCCACATTGTCCAACGGCGGCGCATGCGGGTCATCTACCGTCTTCAGCATCTCCAGCGCGTCGTTCACCTTCGTCGCCACCTCTTTCGAGATTACTAAAACATCAAAGAATTAAAAGACAAACAAAAATCCATACCAATCTCGGCAATCTTGTCCTTGATCCGATGAAGGGCTCTGATGGCATGCCGGGCCCGTAAAGTGTTGTCAACGTAGGCGCGGAGGTGCATTCGCTAAATCATAAAATTAGCTTAAAAAGAAAAAGACGCGTACCGTAATCTCCCACTGGGCAATCGGGCATGGATTCCTTGCTCGACCGCCGTCCAATTCCGCGTCGATACCAAGGAGTACGCTGAAAAAATGGATTTTCGGAATTTTGGTAATTATCTATTCCCCCGAATGATTTTTGGAAATACGCTCACAAGGCAAAAGTTTTACGTTTATAAAATGCGATATAAAAGTAATAGAAATATATTTGTATCCTATAACTAAATACTTTAAATAAATAAAAATAAATCCTACCGTAACGAGGCCAGCATATGAGCGTCCGTTTTCTCGTTTCGCGCCACAATCGATCCCCACGCGGCAACGGCTGCTCCTTTGCTGTCTTCGCCCTAAAAATTCAACTAAATTAATTTTAATAAAATTTTCTACCGTATAGTAAAAATTACCGTAAACTAATAGAAACAATAGCTTACCGTATGATCCAGCACAATAGCCGGGCTATCCGTTTCCAGGACCACCAACTTGTAGACCGGATCCGAGCTGGGGACCGAGTGGAGTTGCATGTCGACCTGAATTTTTACGTAAAACCGATGGAAAACTTTAGTAATTTTAATTTAATTTGAAAACCCGTTAATATGAGATTTTAAAACCCACATTCTTGATAACATTCTGCATGGCGTCCGCCGACAAAACCCAGCGATCCTGGACGTCCTTCTCCAAGTAGTGCATCACGCCAAAGTCCCACAGGTGCTGGGTGCTCACCTAAAAAGCGGAATAAACGAAAATAAAACTCCGAACTAATATGATAAAGAGAGAGAGAGAGAGAGAGAGAGAGAGAATACCTAACTAAAGAAAAATCTAAAGTTTACCGTCAAAGAAGTAACGTTCTTGATGGCGTTGGCAAAACGGACGACGTACTCTTGCGTTTTCTTGGCCCTAAAAAGAACCTCAAGGATAAAAAAATATCAAAATATGACAATTGTAATAAAAATGAATCTAAAAAGCTACTTTTGAAGCAGCTCCTCATCAGCGGCAGCGTTTTGATGCAAGAAGATGATCTGGACGATGTAGTTTTGCGAGAGAGCCGCGCTGTCCCAGACCAAGCGTTTCTAAAATTAAACTTTGAAATAAAATAGAATTTTATATAGAAAAGGAAAAAATAATTTAGGAACGGAAATAAAACGTCTTTTTACCTGGTGTGAAAGTGGTAGGGCTGCAATTTGCCAGGCGTTCATCTGCTCGCGCTGATCGCGTTTGACGATGGCCTCGAGGTGCGGCATGTCGATTAGAACCTAAATTTTTCGATGGTTATTCAGAAAACCAAATAAAGCATTTATAAATTAAGACTTAGAAGATACTTTAATAGACTGAAAATTATAAAATTCCCATACCTCCCAAACCAAAGACCCGATCCGCTGGCCGGTCTTCTCCAAATCGTCGCCCACTTGGATCAACGTCCACTGCGAGCACGTCATGTAGGCGTGGTTTGCAGAGAAATGGGTCCTGAAACGAAATTTAAATTTTTTTTAGTTCTTACCAATCAGCCGGATCAACAAGCGCCAAATGGATGTCCAAACTGCGTTCTTTCGTACCTTGTAGTTGATCAAGGGATCTAAAAACATAAAAATACTAGAAACTACAGAAAAAGAGGATTTTTCAAATTCTAGTCGATAAAAAGGGTTTTCGTTCTAAACTCCAAATTTAACAAACCCACCGTATCCCGTGGATCCGCGTATTCCATCGAATATTCAGCGTCGTTGGTGGATCAATTTCATTGAGCCGTTGTATCGTCTGCTCCTCGATTTTTGCCAATCTGTCACTAAACTAATCTTTGGAGCTCAAAAAATCTAACTCACATCAACTGGGCGCTCGTTGGGACCAAATGGACCGTAATTTCTAGGTCAATCTTCCGCACATTATCCTCCAGATTTGCCATTTCTGCGCGGGGAACCTGCATCGCTTTCCAAGCCGCCGTTCCGAAAATGACGGTAAGGACTGAAAAAATAGTATAAAAAGCGTTATTTTAGATCTTACCAATAAATATAAGTGTTGTGGCGAGCTTGTAGGGATCTTCCTGTTTTCGGAATTCATGGTAGGCCGGCTAAAAATTGGTTTTCAACGTTCAGAAAAGCTTTTACAACCGGCAGCCGATCAATCAACTCTTGCACGTCTTTTGGCGCCGGTTCCTCGGGCCCCCCGGTCGGCGGGGCCTTCAGCTTCAGCGCGACAAGAATCTTGTCCAATATCGTCATCGCGCAGCCAGGTGATTAGCGAGGTGAGATCCTGGAAAATGACGCATTATTAGAATTTTGCTTTATTGCATCGCCTACAAAATCTCAAGCACTATTTCTACGATAACATACCTTAACACCCCTGGGTTTGGCAAGAGCCAAAAAACACAAGGCGAGCACGAAACTGACGGCCGTCAAAATTGACCATACATCCATCAACTGGAGTAGAAACTTGGTGTGCCCGTTCTCTGAGAGCTTGGCCTGAAAATTAATGATTACAAATTTTCTTCTGCAAATTCATTTATTTCTAGTGGCGTAATAGAAAATATTTTAATCCTGTCTTTAGATACGCTACACTCCAGCTCGGAAAACGATTTGAAACTTGTAAAAATTCTGGTTCAAAAAGTTTTTTATTTATAGTTTTTAATAAAACTTTGGAAGTTTTTACGTAAGGTACAGCAAAAACCGCTTAGAAACCTCTCCCATAAATACTAAATATCGTATTGTATAAAACACATCAATCTGGAACGCCGCTGTTTTGCCACACAAACTTTATGATAAAGACTTTATTCCGTACACACGCAAAGTAATCACAAGAAGCAATGACCACGAGCAGAAGCCGGGGGTTAAGGCTGTATAAAGCGCTGAGGACGACACATTCACAGAATGCGGCTTTTTGAAGGACATACGTTTACATTTTAAGAATTACTGGTGTGGAATCTTGAGACCTGGATACGGGCGGGGGAAATCTTCGGAATACTTTGTCGTATAATGCTGCGAGGAGGCAAGGTGAGAAATTGAGACAATAGAGGCCCAAAAATGTGTGGAATCGCGTCGGGGCAAAAATTCGATAGAACCGGTTCGATGTCGGGCGGAAGTAATGAGGGGTGCTTTGGCAGTACCGGGGGGGTTTCCGGGCGGTCCAGAAATGTGTATTAACGTAAAGGAAAGTATTTTAATAGTTTTTCAGTAAAATCTAAAAAATTTCAAGCAGCAAAACTATCTAAAAAAACGAAAAATGTCAAAAATCTGAAATTTTTATCCAAAATTTTTCTATCTTTTGAGATTTCAAGCGGAAAAACCAACCATATCAAAACTTGGAAAAGTTTCATTGACCTGAAATTTTGTTCACAGTCGATATTTTTTGTATATTTTGGTGAAAATTCGCAGTTTTTACATTTCAATTAGTAAAAAGAAGTTGAAAATATTTCCTGTTAGAAAAATTGGCTTCCACCCCCCGATAATGGCAAAGCACCCGTAATCGTAATAAAAGGGTAAAGACGCCGCACGTACGAAGCAAATGACCCATCAATAAGTCTGAGCTGAACGAGGGGCGAGTAATTTGAAAGCCGTCCTAAAGCAAGAGACACGGAAGACACCAGCTTTACAGTTTGGCAAAATGGACAAAAATTGAAAAGTTGAAAATGTGACTAAAATGTCAAAAGTGAAAAGTGGGGCGTTGCCGCGGGGGGCGGTCCAGAGTATTCGTAAGGCGAGTTAATAAATATGGGGAGGCAAGCGAAATCGGGGGAATCGTTGCTGGGGAGGTGGAAAAGCTCGAAATGTAGCAAAAAAAACTTTTTGATACATCAAAATTGAGAGAGGCTTTTCGCTAATTTTCGGACTTCGCGGATTCTAAGGCGAAGGGATATATACAAATTTGGGGGATTCGAAAGCCAAAAAGGCTTGCTCTATGGAGGAATCAATGGTCCAGATACCATTTCGACCGCTGGGCAAAGATGTCGCTCTTCAGGTTCTGGGCGAAGCAAATGCCGAGGATCTAAAAAAACTGGCAGTTTATTTATTTTATGACAGGATCTTTTACATTATCGGGGGAGGCTTATTCTTACAAGTAGATGATGTAATAATGTAATAGAAATGTAATGTAATAGAAGTATTATAATTTTTTAGAAAAAAAGCAATATCTCGATCAGAAAAACTATCCAGACCAGGTAGAAAAATGGCTAAAAAATTTTAGAATTTTGGTAGAAAACCATTTTTATTATTTTTTAAGCAAATTAGTGCATTTTTTGGGTCCAGTATAGTAAAAAGTATAGAAACACGTTCACGCTTGAACCCGATAACTAGCAGAGGTTCTTTGCGGAATTTTCCCTTTTTTTCTTACCTGAACAACAGCCACGACCAGCATCGAAATTCCGACGAGCAGCACGTTGTTGTTGAACCAGAGCTGAAGCTTGGGCAAACAGCCTTCAGTGTAGATACTGCCGGGTTGGTTTTGGTCCTGAAACGACAATAAAATAAAATAAAATTAATTTTACCCTCAGCCTGACGCCATGGCCGCAAAAGTAGTTCTTGAACGACACCTCGCTGCTGTTCAAGCAACACGAGAATGGGACGCCGCCGGCTTCCGGGGATTGGATCTGGAAAATTTAGTTTTTTTAACTTTAAACTTTAACAAAAACCAGTTTTCAAGACTTGATATGAAGCCAAGATAAACTGGCTTCAAAATCTAGCCAACGATTTCACTCAAAAACTCACATCTCTCGAAGTCATACTAAAATAGCTGTTCTTGTCCCAGTCGTCGGCGCTGTTGATTCCGCAACACTTCCAGGCTTCCTAAAATCCATTTTTTTTCCCTGAATTCGAGCAAGTTCTACCTGCATAGAATCGATCAGGATCTGAAGATCAGGGTCGTCTCGATAGCCCTCAATCTTAAAAACACCAGCTTTAAATGCACAATTTTTCAACGAACCACGTCGTTGAGCAGCTTCCGGAAGTATTGGTCCAACTGCTCCTTACAAACGTAGGCGAAAGCACCGGCGGCGAATTCGGCGATGAGAAGAAGGCCTGAAAATTGGTTCGTCAAACTCAATACAATACCATGAACAAGAAAAAAACAAAAATAAATTACCTAGCAAAGTGGAATAGAAAGTCAGGAACGAGGTATTCTCCCTCAATGACCCGATGCAACCGCTGAAGCCTAAAATCACGGAAAATTAAAAATATCAGCAAATTCACGAACCTATGATAAACGTCACCATCCCGACGACGATCAGCAGCCAAGTGGGATCAAGGTAGAGTTTTGAGGCCTAAAAACTTGTATTTTCATGATTTTCTTTGGCGTTTACCTTATTCAACTGGCTGTAGATGCTGTTTTTCTCGATCTGGGCCCACACACCGATCACCAACAGGCTGAAGCCGAGCAGGAAAAAGAGCACGTTGAAGGCGAACACGCTAAAGGAAAATTATCTAGCTTACAATGCCTCAAAATACCTATATTTTACACAGCAACTGATCTCCGATTCACCGCCCAGACCTGGCGCGTAGCGAACACCCTAAAAGACGGAAAATTTAATGGCAAACACAAGATTCTAAAAGGCATTTCGGCAAAGGTTACCGCATGTCTGTAGATCCGGGCTCGTTGCGCGGCGGGTCGTCGCATGCGTTCGGCCTGTCGCGTGTCGCCCGCCATACCGACCCGCTAGAACAACAAATATAAAAATTTTTAGAGGATTTTTGAGTGGAAAATGAGCTGTTCAAGGGGTATAGATCGTTACAATCGGAAGCTGATAGCAGCCTAACCTGCAGAAACCTACATTTATAAAACTCTACTAAAAGTAGGGAAATTTTTAGGGCACTTTTGGAGCGAAAAACGGGCCAAAAGCCGACTATCAATCCTTTTAATATGGTCTTTCTACCGGCGGGAATAGCAAAATCCCATTATTTATATAATCGACATAAAACTAGATCCAATCAGAGCAATTTTAAAGCGAAAAACGAGCCGCAAGCCGGCTATAAATCCCTCTAACAGGCCATTTACAAAATTGCTAATACCCTAAACTACTAAATCCCACATTTATATAATCGTAATAGCCATATCCGCGGTCATATGAGTCAGATGGTTCGCTAATCGTAACAAAGGGCGCAGGGGAAAGGTGCAATTTGCCGCCAAAGCGCAAAGAACCGGTGCGTATTGGCGTGTCGTGTAGCCCCCGGTAGCCGGTGAAAATAATGGCGTCACGGGTTGGCAGCAATTCAGAAGCATCGACTCCTTATGTAAAATGCCCCTAGAAGTTCGATGATGGCGCTACCCGGGAATTTCAAGGTAAGTAAGGTTTGTGCGATTGTGTTTAAGTATCGATTTTCCAGGTCTACGGCCTTATAGCCGCCCTTCTATCGCTGACAACATTTGGTTTCACCGGGATTCTGTTGATATTTTGCTGTATTCTTTGTTTTGTGGCTGGGTAGGGCTAAAATACAAAAATTATGAGTATTTTTAGCCGGTTCTTTACATAGTAGTTTCGATTTTCCTTTGGATTGCATGTTTTGGTAGAGGATTTTCTACTGTTTATTTCGATTCATAGACTCAGAAACTTACAATTTTGAGCATAGTCCCTTAGAAAAATCCTTTTTTTTTGTAAGACTTACAATTAAAAATAATCGTTCCGACCGAAATTTGAATTTTTAAAGATTTTTCTAAGTTTAAAAAAGTCGGTTTTTTAACTGAAAGCTGCTAAACTTTATTAAAACCTGTTAAGATATGTATTTTTAAGTCTACGGACATCTTATTACGGAAAATTATAGATCGGGCAATTAAATTACATTTCAGCCTCCTCTTCCTCATCTACAAAAATGGACGAGCCGGCCAAAAAGAGCTGGACGCCAAGCTGGATGCCCTGCTTGAAGAATTCGAGTTTCCCCCGGGCTTGGCCCCATTCCTGGCGAATAGACGAAGATTTGAAGATAAGGTAAGGGTGTTATAAAGCTTTACACCCGTATTTTCAGTCCGCATATTCAGAGAGAATTTCAATGACCGGCTCTGCCGGAATGGATCAGATATTGGAACAGGTGTGTTTTGGAATAGGATAATTTAAGACAAGATAAAATTCAGATGCTCAACTACATCGTCCGTGATTACGTCGACTACTGGTACAAGGATATGACAAATGATGAGTTGCTGCGCGAATCGCTAAAAAGGACTTCAAGGCGGACGATAGCGGCCTTTGCGCACTGGTAAGTTGGGCGTTGAAAGGTGTATTTTGTAGTCTATCTTATTTGAAAATAGCATAAACATATTTTTCTTTGTTTTTTTTTTGCTCCGTATTGTTTTAACCGCTAAAATGGCTTTTTTAGCGTACGAAAAGTCGACTGGGTCCCGTTTTTTACCCGGCATTGCGTGGATGACTTTGCTTCGCATCTCCGCCTTTTCCGGATGGCTACGGAAAGATTACAATTTGATAAAGAAAAGGTGAGTTTGATAGTTTTTCGCTCCCCCCTCTCTCTCTCTCTCTCTCGCTCTCTCTCCTAAAATATAAATTTCCCTAATTAGGGCTCGGGCAACGGCGAGGACCTGGAGAGCCACTTCTTCGACCTGGAATTTGAGATGGAGAAGAAGCTGTGTCGGGATCTGCTTTCGACTACGCCTCATTACGAAAATGGTACGGTAGAAAACGTTGAAAACTGTCGTAACCAAGTTAAAAACGGGCCAAGACTTACCCCATTATTTTAGCCTATCTCCACGATCTGATGGATATTTTGCTGTACCTGATGATGCCGCCGGAAGATTTCCGGTGTCGCCCGCTACGATTTTTGATGAGAGAGGTTAGATACAAGTTTTTGATGGTTTGAAAGGTATCAGGAAGACCAATTAGGGGCAGAAAACTATAAAATACAATACAAACAGCTAAAAACTTGAATTTTTCCAGATCATGGTCAAAATCGTGTTCGTCCCGATGCTCGATCACTTCTCGAATCCGGACAATGTCAATCAGCTGCTCGTTTGGCTGGTGAGTAACACTTTATAATACTTTTAACGATTTTATTGTAGCTATCCGAAGTCTCGCCTAAACCCGAAGATTTCGTCCTCTCGGTCGAGCACAGCTCAAGTCAAAAAGAGCTCGAGGCCCTGATAAAATCGGTGAAGGAGGAAATGTTGCATTTGAGAGGGCGAGATTCTGGAGGAGAGCATGGTATAGAAATTTTTTGGAACGTAGTTGTATATTTTAAGGTGATTTTGTCAAGCAACAACTCGCGAGCCTCGAATTTTTGGAGGCCACGATCCGGAAGAAGCTGATCTTCATTTCTGAGGGTGGGGTTGAGAGAGGGGCGGATGCGGTGAGTTGTAAACGATTAAATACAGCTGATTCTATAAGAATAGATTTGTTTAATTTTTTTTATCTAGATTCTAACAAAAATTTAAGGTTAATGGATCTTTCCTCAACGTAAAAGTTTTGAAAAATTTCATTAAGAAATGGAAAAATATGAATTTCTCAACCGAAATATCAATTTTTTAGAACTTTTTCTCATTGTTCCTGACAGTTTTTAGTATAAATATGGCTAAGCTAGCAAAAATACTATTAAAAGACTTCTACTACATTATTTGAAATTTTGGACTTGTATGACAAGTTCGGCCCCCCGATATTGCCAAAGCGCTTTAAATTTGGTAAACGTCAAAATTTATGGTTATTTTTTAGCGCTGCTCAATCGTCGAAGACGCAAACTCATCAGATGGCCTAATCCAGCTACCCGTCCACGTGGTCTTGACCAACTCCGTAGCCGTCAGCTATTTCTGCGACTTTTTGAACACGGTCGGCGGGCAGAACTACATCGATTGCTACCTGGCCATCGAGGTATGAAAAAAAATATTGTTTTACGCGTCGAAAAAAATATGAAATCTGTGGTCTTTATCAATAATTAAATACAATATAAGAAACCATTAAATATCTACTATATATAAATTTCTAATGTCCGTCTGCCCGTCCGACCGGGAATTCAGCCAAATTTTGCATTCGAATTCCAAATTCAAAGTGTGGGATGCGGGGGGCAGCGCTGAACCCCCGCGTAGCGGGGGGTCGGCGCTGGTATAGTATAAACTCCAATTTTCAGGGCTTCAAAGTGAGCGTGGAGCACCAGCTGCGATCCCTAGCCATGGGCGAAACAACAAACGAAGATGTGTGCGAGACGATAAAAGAAGCGGCGAAATTCATGTACCATCAATATTTGTCACAAGAGGTTTGTAAAATTTATAAAAATGAATTTGAGTTAATTTAGGCCATTACTCGGGTCCCACTCCGCGAATCTGTCGTCGCCAAATTCTTGCATAGGATGAAAAATGACGAGCCGTCAGATAGCTGGTTTGAGCAGATACAGGAGGAGGTAGGATTTTAGGCGCCGAAAAACTAAAAAAAAAATTGATTTTAGCTCTCGGATGTCTTAAAAACTAACGAACGGTTCTACCCGGCTTTCAAGCAGGATCCGCTTTACGAGAAGATGCTGCTGGAATTGGGCATTATAGGTACGGTATCCTTACTAAAGTTCCAGTTTTTTTTTTGGCTGGCACATTTTTATTACTTACTTATCCCTACAGTTTGATACTTTCAGTTTCTTTTGAGCGTATTTGTGTATCTGTGAAAACTATTGAATTATTGTTTATTCGAGTTTTGTAAATAAAATTTTTCAATCTGAATTTTTGGGACATTTTTTTTGTGGTTTTTATTTCTTGTGAACTTCAATGATTTTTTGAGTTTTTGAAAATCCAAAAAATCATTTATAGATGCAGTTGATTAAAGTTACCTAATTTTTAACTTTATCTTCACCTTGAAAAGAACTTTAAGAAAAAAAGAGCGGTTTTAGAACGCCCTATTAAATTTAATTGCTTTAGTTGGTTTGAATTACCTTTATCTTTAAGGTCCCCGAGGCTCCAAATATTAAGAAAACCACTTCATCTTAGGAAACGAAGAAGAGCGCTCGGAAAGCCAAGCGAGCGACTCAAGCTCGATCCGTTCGGGTGGCACCTCGATGGACCCTACTACGATTGTTGAGAGGGTAAAATCTTTTATGAAGTTTTCTTGAGGTATCGATCAACTATAATAATTTTCTTGACGCGTCCGTCTGTCTGAAGCCGAATTCAACTCGAAGGGGAAAAGAGCTAGAGCTTAGCTCTCTTCGGATTCGGATAGAGCGTGCTCAGAAACCCCCACACTGATAAAAAAATTATGAAAAACTTTTAGTTTAAATTATTAAAATTAACTTTGAAAGTTTTTCCTTAGTAAAAGGGGTGGGGGCCCCTCTCCCGGGAGGCCACGCCCCCTTTCCCTTCGCCCCTCTTCCCCAGGCCCCTTCGCGCGCCCAGGTCGCTTTCTTAAGTTACTTTAATACTTTTTAATATACTTTTTAATACTTTTAATTATGTTAATTAATTATTTAAATTATTTAAAGTATCTAGGAAGGTATTTAGGTAGTTTTTTGAAGGGGATTTCAGCCCTGGGGGGTATCTGAAGCCATCAGGAAGGTATTTAGGTAGTTTTTGAAGAGGATTTTGGCTGGGGGAGGTATCTGAAGCCATCAGGAAGGTATTTAGGTAGTTTTTGAAGGGGATTTCAGCCATGGGGGAGAGGGTATTTGAAGTCGTTAGCGTGGGTATTGATGTGGTAGGTGGAATGGTGTGGTGTAGGACATGTAGGGTGGCCCGAAGGCCAGATTGTTACAGTCGCGAAGCGACTGGAACCATCTGGTATTTAGATAGTGGAAGAAACACCGATTTCGGCCTCCGATCCCGCGCTCAACGCCGAGCCAATAATCGTTGCTATAGTGGAGCCGCTCGGAATTGGTTTGTATAATCTCAAACGTTAGTTTTTACGTTATTTTTAGGTCAACAAGGCAAGAATTCGTTCGCGCTGTATAATATTCGAGTGGAGAGGACGTTGGCAGGGAAGAAGGTAGATTTTGATAAACGGGTTTGAGAAGGATTTTGATTTTTAATCCGGAAAATGGTCATTTGGCATTATCGGGGGTGGGATTTTTTGGACAAGCTGAATTTTCCTGAAGTTTAACGATATTTCAAATAGAAAAACATATCAACAAATCGTTTAAAAATCCGGAATTTTGGCCTAAACATCGATTTTCTTTTCGTATTTTATACAAGCATTTTGTAAGGGTTTTTGCGTTTAGAATTAGTAAAAACAGCCTACAAAAAACAAAAAGTTATTATAAAAACCCTACAATATTTATATTAACAAATTTGTAAAGTTTCGGTTTTTTTTGGTTTAAATTCATACTTGAACTTTTCAAAACTTTAAAAGGCTAGCATTTTGAGCTATTTTACTTATAAAAATCCAGCTTGGCGTAAATCTTATAAAAAGATAAACCATATTTTTACAGGTTTCCGGCTGGAACGTCCTGCGCCGCTACTCCGATTTCCACACCCTCCACAATTTGCTGTGTCATCAGGTGCATTTTGTAGTCTTTTCCAAAACACAGAATCTTACAGTACCCCAAGATCGCGTCGGTTAGCTTCCCCGGCAAGAAGACGTTCAACAACCTCGACCCGCACTTTATCGAGAAGCGCACCCAGGCCCTCAATGCGTATTTGGAGGTACGGTAGATGGAGCAATTTTTATTGATCAAAAATTTATTTATTTTTTTGATTTCTGACACAAAATTTTAGGTTGTACTGAATCCGTTGCTGCTCCGGGTTAATAAGAACATGGATCGGCTTCTATTCGATTTTTTGAGCCAAAAGGAGTACACCGGAACGGCACAGCCTATGGCTAAAAAGGTGGGAATCGAATTTAAAGAATTTTTAGGTATAGAAAAATTATTAAATGCTATTTAAATTATTCAAAATTATTAAAATCATTAAATTTTCCTTAAACATTTTTTTCCACTTTTTTCTAGGTGATGAGCGCAATGTGGGATCCGATTGGCCGTGGGATGCGAGCAGTTGGGACTGCCGTGGCGTCTGTACCGGATCAGGTAGGACACTATATAGTTTTGCCTGCTTTGCTTTATTTTTACTTAATCGGAAGTTATTAAATTCTATAGCTTGAAATTATTAATTAATTTAATTTAACGCTGGGAGTTCGTTTAATCTGAGTTTAACAAAATTGTATAATTTAAAATTGCTCAGTAAAATGAGTTTAAAGCCAAAAATTGGTTTGATTGCAAGTAAAATTCAACTGATAATACCAGAGTGTAATGTATATAATAAGATTTTACACATAATTTTAATAGATTAGTCGTGATTAATTTAATGTGGTAAATTCGTCTTATTAAGGCTATTAATAAAAATGGTTATTTTTTAGTATACTTTAGCGTTATTAATTTATGATTTTAAAGCCAAATTAAATTTTCAGGTGGTTGGCGGTGTGACAAAAGTGGGCGATGGCATCGGAAAAGCGGCAAAAGCCGTTATTGGGGTGAATTGACCGGTTTTTTTAGAAATTAAGTTTTAGCCCCCCTCCTCGGCCATCTACCGTATGCCACCAACCCTAGATACCGATCGCGTGGCCGCAAAAATTTCGGATGAGGTTGGAAATCAAAAAAATAGCTTCGAAATGCCTTTTTAGGACACTACCGAAAATATTCCACTCCGAGTCATGATGCTCTTTGTGGATGAGGTATGGATTTAAGGTTCTTTGGCATTATCGGGGGGGGGGGAACAAAATTATTTTTTTGAATAGGTCTAGAAATGCCTATTAACTTAATGTTTTGGTAAAATAAGACTATATTCAACTGGAAAAACACAAAAGTTTTTGAAATTCGAAATGTGGCCTAAAACCTGCCATTTTTGGTAAAAAATTCATATTTTTCCATTTTTTCATAAAAATTTGTACATTATTGCGTTTTGGAACAGTAAAAACATATTAGAATAGGTTCTGCTATTTATACAGGGTGTCCCATAAAAAAGCACCCCTCCGGCATTTCGCCGTATTACATCCCAACAGTCCCAAAATTGGACTGGAGGTGTATCAGACCCTAAATAACCACAATCCTGACTTATAGACCGATCGCTACAGTAGTTTTCGAGTTATCGTCAAAATACTGTTTTTTGCGCGATTCTTAACAGTTTTTTTTGGCTATCTTTTTGGACTTTGCATCGATTTGCATCGACTTCCGGCTGCGAATCCCTAATTTCGCTTAACATCGGCGGGTGACTTTGCGTTACAAAAATTGTTGAAATCAACGGTTATTTCACTAATTTTTATCAGAAAAAAATCTCCAGGGGTAAAGCAGGCTTGCCGCTTCATTTTCACTTATTATTCGAAGGGTCGATTTCGACGAAAACCAGATGAAAAACGGATACTAAAGTTTATTTTTGTTGTATCTCGAAGATTACTGTAGCTGGCGGGCTATAACTCAGGATTGTGGTTATTTAGGGTCTGAAACACCTCTGGTCCAAATTTCGGACCGATCGGATGTAATACGGCGAAATGCCGGAGGGGTGCTTTTTTATGGGACACCCTGTATTTGAAAAATGGAATCCAAATACAAGATCTAACCCCCCTCCCCCCGATAAAGCAAAAGAACCGAATTTAACGCGATTTAAAGGGACAGGGACAGCCTAAAAATGTCACGATCCTGGCAAAAATATGCAAAAATTACGTTGTAATTACGTCAAAAATTATGCTAATTTTTTCAGGTGTTTGGGGTACGGGCCCGGAACGCCTGGTTTCGACGCCAAATGGTGGCCCTTCTACGGCAATTCGTCACCCCACTCGGCACCTCGATCAACAAGCGCATCATCGATATTGTCGATTGGTTGACGTCGGACCAGCAGACTACGCTTTATTTGGCGGCAATTAGGTGCGTTTAAGGGATTGTGACGCCTGAAAAGCTGCGTCAATTGGAGCGCAATGTACTAATTATTACCCGAATTTTTTCAGAGACACTCTCTGGCCAGATGGTCAACTCGCCGGCCCCGCGCCGATTCGACCAGACGAATTTCACGAGAAAACGAGGGTTTTGTCGCGGGCTTTGATGTTGAGCTGTCTGCCGGATGAGTTACGGTAAGTGGTGGATTTGGAGTTTCTCCGATAGAATTCCGTACTGTACCTGGATTACAGTAATCCTACCTTGCTGCCGTACTGCTAAGTAGCCTAAAGCGGCTAGAAAGCGTCAGGATCGACCCGTTTGATGACTAGGTCTAGACAGCTCCGCACAAGACCAAAAAGTGCGTACTTGTGTATTTGAATTTTTGCTTCAATGTTGTTTCCGTAGGGGAAATGTCCTGAGGTTACGCTTGTTTTTAGGCGGTACGTAGTTGTCGGGACCTAGTCGACGAAAGGGGTCGATATTGGCACTTCCAAGTTCCTTTAAATCAATTTCAATTAAGTGAATAAAGTCGATAGCTGTTTTACAATGAATTAAAATAAAATAAATGCCATTTTCAGACTAATCCTCGGCCAAGAAACCACCTACCAAGGAATCGCCACCATTTCCGCCGCCTTCCAGCGCCCGCATCTGAATCGTCGGCTACTCTACGTCCTCCTTGAACGCCTTCTCGTCAACATATTCCCGAAAAATCACTTTGAGAAAATCTTTGCTCAACTGCACTCGAAGAGCCCGAGGTCTAGGAGGAGCTAGAAACCACGATTTCTATACCTTACATTTTTATTACCTTTCTAGACCTTACCCACTAGCATATTCCATTAAAAACTTCTGACTTGCCTCTACCTCTTTTTGCCTTAGATGTTCCTTTAAAAATTTTCTGTGACTTGCCTATACCTTTAAAATAACGTGAAAGTGAAAATATCCTCTTTCTAGCCTATCAAATTTTCGGCTACTGTACTTCTATAACCTGGTGCATTCACCTACCCTCCTGATCTCCCTCGTTGTGAATTTTTGTCAAAATTTTTTTATTGTTTTTTTCGGGCTTAGAAATTCTGTGCTGAAATTTTGCTGTCACGCTCCCTTTAAAGGGTTTAGAAAACGTGAGAATCGACCCCTTCCATCGACTAGGTCTCGACAGCTACGATTAACGTGAAAATAAGTCACAATTGACGAGCTGCACTAAAAATCAAATGCGTATTTAGGAGCGGCGCGTCCTTGTCGAGACCTAGGCGATTAAAGGGGTCGATTTAGCACTTCCTGATCCCCTTAAAACCGGAGATAAATTTAAAACTTTAAAAATTTCAAACAAGTAATTTTTTTCTCGTTTTCCTAAGCCCCGCTACCTTTTTCTACTGCCAAATTGGTGCCCCCGTCCTGGTCAAAATGATGATTCCGTATTCGCCCTAGAACTTTGAATGCTTCCTGTGGTGCTGGTATTTGTGGCGTGTTGTGCTTTTTTTCTAGTTTTTATGGGTTGTGATAGTCCCCGCATTTTTTGCTGTGAATAAAGGTTTGAAGATTGATAAATTTGCATTAGAATAATGTCGAATCGACAATTATTGCGAATTGCAATTGGTAAAACATAATAAATGAAAATACGCTTTCTCTTGCTATTATTCGCTCTCTCTCACGCTCTCTCTCTCTCTCTGTCTCTCTCTCTATCTCTATCTCTTTCTTTCTCGTTCTCTCTCTGCCTCTCTCCCGGTCTCTCTCACACTTTCTCTCTCGCTCTTTCTGTCGATCTTTCTCGCCCTCTAACAAATTCAATGTTGCAGCTTTTAATTCCAAAAATGGAAGCCATCCTCCACCGCCACATCGGCTATGAAAAAGTCGATCCGGCTGGTCATTCCGGTATTTTCACTGACAGTGTTACGGTAGAATCTGCGCCATTTAGGCGGAGGCTCGATCAGTCGTGGTGAAGCTTACGATACAGAATTTGGGCGCGTCTTTGCCAAACATAATGCTAAACGTGGGGTACGTTCTTGGTTTTGTTCACGGAAAAATACCGACAATAACGTCGTCATATAAGGCGTCGTAATATGGAGTAGGCGATTTTTAGAGCCTCGAAATGTTCGAGGGTGAATACGCTGGTTTGGCAGCTATCGCCGCGACTGATGCGATTTGCTGCCCGAAACCGATAAAAGTGATTGACCTTGGGTGGGTTTTTTTTCTTTTAAAGGGGTGGTGACATCAAGAAATAGTTAAGAATAAGCGCAAACGAGAGAAAGTCAAATTTTTTTAGAGAAAGCGGCGCCTGCCTGGTCACCGACTACGTGGAGATGGTGGGTAGGAGCAGTGGTTTGGTACAAAAATTTGGAAAGCAACTGGCTGAGTAAGTTCGATTTCTCTCTGTCTGTCTCTCTCTCTCTCTCTCTCTGACTCCATATTGCTTTTAGAATGCACAACCACAACGCAAAACTACTCAAAGAGGCCGAACAGCGAGAGAATTTCGTTGGATCAGTGCAAGAAGGTAAGCTGCGAGCGTGATAGAGAGAGCGAGAGAGAGAGAGCGAGAGAGAGAACAAGAGCGAGAGAAGGAGAAATCGCAAACTTTTTAGGCCAGCCTCGCTTCGGCTTCGAAAAGACGACCTGTTGCGGGGCCCTCCCATTACGCAATGAATTCATGGCATCGTGGCCCGAATTCTACGTCCAAAATCGGCTCGATCCGCAAGTTCAGAGGATTCTGGAGGTGAGAGAGAGTGAAAGAGAGATCGAGAGAGAGAGAGTGCTATAAAATCTCGGATGCTTTTCAGAAAAACGGCGACCGCGAGCTGAAAAACATCTACCCCGAATTACTCCACGCCTGCGAGAAGTTATTTTCGGATTATGAAGGTCAGGCAGTTGACTTTTAAAGGGATTGTGGCAGAATAATTTTAGCCGTCCCGCCAGCGCTCGTCCATGGCGATCTCTGGTCCGGAAATTGGAGCTCTACGGCTGAGGGAGAGCCAGGTAATTTTTGACAGCAAGAAATTAAACTCAAGGCATAAAAACCTAATTTAAATACTCAGCAACGTTTATTTACAGTGATTTTCGATCCCGCTGCCTTCTACGGCGACCCCGAATTCGAGGAGGGCATTATGAATATGTTTGGAGGCTTTGGAAAGTGAGTTTTCTAGCTGTATCGCATTCTCTTGCTCTTTCTCTCTCTCTCTCTCTCTCTCTCTCTCTCTCTCTCTCTCTCCTACTCTCTCTCGCTCGCTCTCTCACTGTCGCTCTCTCTCTCTCTTGCTTGCTCTCTCTCACGCTCGCTCTCTCGCTCACTCCCTGGCTCTCCCATTTCTAACTTTCTAGAGAATTCTGGTCGGCCTACCATGAAATTCTGCCTTCAAAACCTGGCCGTGACAAGCGAGTTCTGCTCTATGAGCTCTTCCACAACCTCAATCACTGGTAAATGAATTTCTTAACTTTAAAGGGGCTAGGAAGGCATAACAATCCCAAATAAACCCTGTAAGCCTGCCCCCGTAAGTGCTGGTTTTTTTTTCAGGAATCACTTTGGTTCTTCCTACAAAGGCGGCTCGATGTCCCTGATCCGGAGCATCATTTCACAGAATTTTACCTCCTGATTTTGTTACACATGCGGTAGTTTCCTGTAATTAGTATCAGAATGTGCATAATCATTGATTTGTTAATTTTACTTAAAAAAACGCTGTACTTACACACATTGTTTGTAGTTTGTAGTTTGTCCATCAGCTTCTGAAAATGTTAGAATGTATATAAACGTTGCTATGTCTGTTCCATCTGTACATATTGCACTTTGTGCCCTGTTGTCGTTTGTAGTTTGTAGCCTGTAGTTCGCAAGCTTTTTCTACTTCTCGTAGTCCAGTGTATTTAGTATTTAAGTTGTAAATAAATGTACATATAAATACACATCCTACCTTATATAATTTTGGAGTGTATGTGTGTGTGTGTGTGTGGATGTCGCTTTCGAGGCCCGATTTGAGGGCCTTCCCGTGCATAAAATGCCCTAATTCTCCGTCACCCGGGGGAATCGACCCTCCTGTTTCCGATGACGTTCTCAGAATTTCGATAAAATACAAGTTTACAATGTTAAGGCCGGTTTTGTTCATTTTTGGGGGTTCCTGCGGGCTAATTTGCATAATGCGCGAGAAACAAATTTCCTCATTAGTGGCAGTTGCACTCGCGCGTTTGGCTGCCTCTTTGGAGCTGCCTCTCATTGCCTTTGCTCCTCTTCCCGGCAGTCACCTCCGGGCATACAAGGGGTGTTGCGCGCCCGCTCCCAAGCGTTTCAGGGTATAGTGGTTAGAGCGTCAGCCAGCCAATATTGCTATCGGGGGTTCGATTCCCGGCTAACACAGAAAACGACCAAGGAAAAGCGTCAAAAATTCCGGTTTAAATTTGTTTAATTCATGATTTCTTAAGTTTATTAATTTATTGTATTTTCATCTATTTTAAAAAGCATTTTGAGTTCCTTAAATCTAAAACCGGAAAATTACGTGAAAGCAAAAGCAGGACGTAATCAATTCCCTGATTTATTGAAATCCAAACCGCTCTCTCGCACCCTCATCGTCTTCTGTCTCTGGCTTTCCCCCTGCGTCTCTCCCAGCCCGCGTTGGGTAGATAGGGGAGAAATCTCCCAGCAAAGTGGTGGCACCCATGGCGCAGTCGGTTAGCCCTTACACTGACAATGCGATGCATTGGGGCGAGTCAGGTGATCGACTCCGGGTGCCGTCGATTATTTTTTTGACTTTTTTGCCTTTTGGCGGAAAGTTTCGGGATTGATTGCTGATCATGGTAATATGATTAATTTTTCTTCTAAGAGTCGCTTATTGCATTTCATTGGAGTTGGTTACGTTTGTTAATGTTGAAGGTCCATCACACAGAAAACGACCAAGGAAAAGCCTCAAAAATTCCGGTTTAGATTTGTTTAATTCATGATTCCTTAAGTTTATTTATTTATTGCAATTTCATTTATATTTAACCAGCATTTTGAGTTCCATAAATCTAAAACCGGAAAATTACGTGAAAGCAAAAGCAGGACGTAATCAATTCCCTGATTAGCTTCATTTCGTGCCCTGCTTCGTTTACTAAAGGTGCCAAATTTATTGCCACTTCCGCTCTTATCTACTGGTGACGCTGATCGTCACTGGCTCACTTTACTTACTCACTCACTTTACTGGCTCTCCTCGAATGCTTTTCCCATTTTGTCAGAGTTTGACGTTTCTAAGAAAAAGAAAGAGTAGAACTTTGACTTTTTTCTTTTCTTTTGACTTTTCAGACAACAAAATAGATCGAAAATTAAATTACGGTAATATACTACGATAGCTTCTCATTAAAAGCCATCAATATCGACGGGTTTGCAGACTTGCTGTATTATGGGGACCATGACATTTCAGCAACGACATTTCAGCAACTTTTGGAAAGAGTGCGGAGGGAGGAGAGAGTCCAGACGGGCAGACTGTCTGGACTCTCGCCTTTCTCCGCACTCTTTTCGAATGTCATGGTCCCGTATTATGTATTATTATGTATGTAAGACCTGGGGAATGGCTAACAGAATCCCATTTAGAGTAAATTGCTGTAGCGGTTGGAGTACGCAGGGAATTTTAAAATTTCTGATGGATTACCGCCCCCAGAATTCTAAAAATATCAATATTGATCAGCAATCAATCCCGAAACTTTCCGCCAAAAGGCAAAAAAGTCAAAAAAATAGTCGATGGCATCCGGAGTCGACCGTCTGATTCGCCCCAATGCATCGCATTGTCAGTGTAAGGGCTAACCGACTGCGCCATGGGTGCCGTCCCTTTCCTGGGAGATTTCTCCCCTATCTACCCAGCGCCGCCTGGGGAAGCCGCAGGGGAAAGCAAGAAACGCAGATGATGAGGGTGCGAGAGAGCGGTTCGGAGTTTCAATAAAAGCTGTCCAGCATTGGTTTATTTGGCCAAGATATGGTTGGACCACTAGGATTTCGATAAGCATTAGTTTTCTGCTACATGAGATTAATGTTAGCCATTCCCCAGGGTAATTCTATACAAGTTCCCAATAAGGAGTAAATGATGAGGTATCATAGTAGCTGAAACAACAAACAACAAACAATATCAAAAAATAAAATCAAAAGTAGGGAAGGAAGAGGGCAACGCAACATCCTTACACACAACACACTCTCTGTTGCAGTCTTCGCACTCTCGCACTCTCATCGTCTGCTGTCTCTTGCTTTCCCCTGCGTCTATCCAAGGCCGCGCTGGGTAGATGGGGGAGAAATCTCCCAGGAAAGGGACGGCACCTATGGCGCAGTCGGTTAGCCCATGCACTGACAATGCGATGCATTGGGGCGGGTCAGGTGATCGACTCCGGGTGCCGTCGACTATTTTTTTGACTTTCTTGCCTTTGGCGGAAAGTTTTCGGGAGCATACAGGGTGGCTGATAAGTATCCGGAAAAACTTTGACATGGCGTAACAAAAAAATCATCGAGTTTTATGTTCTGTTCTCCTAGCCATCGTGGATGTTCTTGTGTATACTTTGATATTTCGCGACTAAAATTGAGTTTCCTTAGAAAGATAAAATATCCGGGCGCCAAGAAGCAGTCATTTGTCCCCATTTCCTTAAGCTTAGGTGCGCCGCACCTGGGGTAGCCAATGTTTAGACGAAAAAATTTTCTGGGTTAAGGTGTCTGAAAACGTTCAAAAACCCCGATAACTGTCAGTACCGGTCTGAAGAATACCAGGAAGTTAAAAATTACTACAAAAAGGCTTATCCCAGAAAGTTATATAATCTGAAGAGAAATTAGCGTCTCTGACAGATTTTCATCGATCAAAACGCTAAAATGAAGATGAACCTCTATCAAAATGATATTCTGGAGCAAGATGTGATGCTTTGTAATCGAAATAATCCGTGTATTGCCCTTCAACAGTATCGGGCTCGGGGCTAGGGCCCAAAAACCACAATTCGTCATTTTCGCCCGAAAATCGACGCTTTTATGATGAAGGTTCTATGACCTGCCAAAAGCCCAGATCGTAATCCATTGGATTTTTCTGTGCGGGAATGCATGAAACACGAGTCAAGGAACCAGAGCGTCAAGAATATGGTTAATCTTCACCAAGAATTTAACAAGATTTTGAGTAAAATAGCCGTCAACTGCCCGCGGCGCACAGCCATTTTAGGATAGCCATAAATTGTAGCATAAATCAAAGCAGATCAAAATCACTTTAAAAATTTGTTACAGCGACGAATATATAGCTTCTACTTGTTATAAAATAATTGGTTTTGATTACATTCGTGCTTCCCTTTTTACACCAGGACCTTATACTTTTTCCGGATACTTATCAGCCACCCTGTATAAGCATAAAAGGGGGTCAGACGGGGCTAGGGTTGAAAAGTCGCGAAGCGGCTTTTCAACCGTGGTACGCATTAAAAATGTCGCTATGGAATTTGCGAGAGAGCCAAAAATATAAATATTTATCATACGGAAACACTCATAAAGCAATATGTACAATAAGGCTTCAGAAAAGCCCTAAAATGCGAGATCGAACTATTGCCGGGTGGGGAGGAAGGTAGATGTGCTTTTCTTCAAGAAATCCCTTTCTTCCAGTTTTTGGGCGTAAAGCTTTGCGAGCTAAAAAGAAAACTTTAAAAGCGAGAGATAGAGAGAGAGAGAGATAGAGAGAGAGCGATAGAGAGCGGGCGAAAGAAAGCATTTCTGACCTCCTTATCCTCTTTTTCACTCAGCGGGTAGATGGCCGTTTTTCCCGGCTTTTCCGGACTCCGTAGGATTCCTAAATACGCAAAACATCAACCGTATTTTCAGCGTTTTTATGCAAAAGCTCCACATCAAACTCTATTAACTAGCAAAAAGCGCGACTCACCACTCGTCTCGTAAATCGACTTACCGTAGCCGAGCATCGGGTTACCGTACATTCCTGGAAAAACGGGATTGGGGGTTATGCTTTTTTGTGCTTTGACATTAACTGTAATTTTTTCGCGTCCGTACCCATTACAGTAACACTGCCATAAGACCTAAGGTATGGATTAAGGAACCCTGCCCCAGTTTTTGTGACGTCGCCCGTTTCTTGCTACCGTAACCTGACCTGACCTACCGTATTGCCCGCCATACAACCCCATACTCGAGTACGGATTGTACATTCCGCGGCCGTACAGCGAGCCCAGGCCGCCGTAACCGCCAAGTCCGCCGTAGCCACCCAATGCACCTAATCCCGCGCCGTATCCACCGTATCCACCTAGCCCGCCCAGTCCGCCGTAAAGACCGGAGCCTAGGAAAATGCAAGATCGAAAAGTCCGAATTAAGAAAGCTACCGTAACCCAAGCCACTCATCGCGCCAAGACCGCCAAGTCCATAGCCGCCTACACCGTATCCGCCGAGTGCGCCAAGTCCACCTACACCGGCTCCTAAAAATTGTCCTAGTGTGGATACCGTAGCCGGAGAATACCTAGAACTCCGGTAGCAGCACAGGTACCGCAAGAGAGAGGGCAGAGACGCTAAAAATGTAAGTTAAGGCGAGAGAGTGAATGCGAGAGAGAGCCAGAGAGGGAGAGAGAGAGAGGGAGGGAGGAAGGGAGAGGGAGATAGAGATAGAGAGAGAGCGAGAAAGACAGAACGAGTTACCTGAATAGATGGATTCAGAGCACATTGTCCTGTTGAAGCCATAACAGCGCATGAAGTTGACATATCCTGACACATCATGCCTGCTCCGCCAAGCATACTGTAAAGGCTACCGTAATCTGCTATTTAGTTTCCTTATTTTCTATTCAGATTATTGGAGTGGTATTAAAAAAATAATAATGGAATTTGTTTCTAGAGATTTTAGAAAAGCCGGCTATTAATTTCTACCAGGGTTGAAAAGCCGCTTCGCGACTATTCAACCCTGGACCCGTCTTGGACCCCATGCTATTCCGCCATTTGCGTAATTGTCCTTCATTCAGAAGGCAAAAAAAAAGAAAAACAACCCCGTTTGCCTCTTTATATAGACGACCGCCCACTTCCGGTCTATGCTAATTCTTCCTAACAAAGAGGTTTTTACAAAAACCTAAATTTAATAGCGAAAATGGCTAATTTTTCAAAATCTGATATGTGTGCAGTCATCCCTAGACCATTACGCACCTAATGACGTATCATACATAGCCTAATACCCGCCCCTTCTTGAGATATCCTCCGGACAGACAGACGGAAGTGGATGCAAAGTGGCACACACACAGACACACAGACACTATTTTTTTATATATAGTAGGATTTACCCGGTTCCAATTCCCGGATATCCGCCCATCATACCGTAACCGCCGTAGCCTCCTACAAAGCGTCATTTGAAGCAAGGCGTACTATTCGCCTACCCATTCCATACATTGAGGGGGAATACCCAGAATATCCACCATATCCACCATACATCGAATAGGGATTAGTGTACCCGTAGCCATATTGGTACGGGTTTACTCCTAAAACATGGCGCTAAATGATTGTCAACCTTATTTGGAAGCGACTACGGTATTGTTTATATCATTTATCGTTTTATTTTGCTGTTTGGTCTGAAAATCTTTGTAAAAAAATTTGGTTTAGTCAAAATGCCGACCATCGAAACACCGACAGCGAAAATACCGACAAGTCAAAATGTTGAAATACAAAATACCGACATACCGAAATGCCGTCAGCCCAGAATGGTGGCACCGAAAACGCTAATATACAGGGTGTCCCAAAAAAAAAGACCCCCCCCAAAAATTTGAGCCAGAGAGCACCTACGGAGCTGAAAATTTGCACAGAGGTAGCGAAGCCAATTTTCTATGAACAAGGAAAGTTTCAGCCCGATCGGCCAGCGCGTTTTAAAGTTATAGCGAAAATACTTTTCATTTTTAATTTAATATGGGGATCTTCGAAATTTGCATCAAAGATATGCGTTATTCTTGTATTTACGAGCCGATTTTGCATAAATTTCGCCGAAAAGTGCCATTTTCTTGATGGAGCTTTTGGAAAACGATTGTGTATGCAGAATAAAAAAGAGTGTTAAAACAACTCTTTTATCGATCCAAATCAAGTGTTATTGTACATTTTGGCAATTTGAGCTTCGTCGGCCCGAAAACAGAGTTCGACGAGCTCGAAAACAGTGTTGAAGTTTAGATTTGGGCTTATGTTGGCGCGTACGCTGAAGCTTAAGCCAAGCTCAAGCGTCCAACGATAGCTTCCGCCACGAGGTCTGGTATTCATCGTTCTTGCTGATCATTTTCTCGCTACATGAGCAATCGTTTTCCAAAAGCTCCATCAAGAAAATGGCACTTTTCGGCGAAATTTATGCAAAATCGGCTCGTAAATACAAGAATAACGCATATCTTTGATGCAAATTTCGAAGATCCCCATATTAAATTAAAAATGAAAAGTATTTTCGCTATAACTTTAAAACGCGCTGGCCGATCGGGCTGAAACTTTCCTTGTTCATAGAAAATTGCCTTCGCTACCTCTGTGCAAATTTTCAGCGCAGTAGGTGCCCTCTGGCTCAAATTTTTGGGGGGGTCTTTTTTTTTTGGGACACCCTGTACATGCGAATGGGTCTCCAATCTAACTGTTTTTTTTTTGTCGGGATCGGGTCGGTATTTTGGTTGACGATTTAATGTCGGCATTAGGCTGCTTTATTTCAAAAAAATTGACCTTCCGAGAGCTTTGAACACTCACAGGTCTGTGCATCCGCCCGAAATCCATTCGGAATCCCGGAGGGGATCGAGGGGAATTCCACTAGCGGACGCGAGTGGATTCCACATGGAAATCGAGTGGATTCCGGGTGGAACGCATGGAAATCGAATGGAAACCAAGCGGATCCACTCGATTTCCACTCGATTTCCATTTGCTGCGACGCGTGGGGCCCGTGCTGCGTCATGCTTCCACTCGATTTCCACTGCGTCCACCCGATTTCCACCCGATTTCCATGCGTTCCGCCCGAATCCCAGGTGGAATCCACATGGAATTTGAGTGGATGCACGGACCTGTGCTATTTCCATTCGGTTTTATTTTTGTTAACAAAATATCTATGCGTAAAACCGAAAAAAGTGCCAGTGCAACCAACCGGTTCCGCCCCACAACCAGGGACAGTACGTGCCTGGAAATATGGTAACTTTGTTGAATAAGCGTGACCATAATTTTGAGCTTCGTAAGCTTCGTCAACTTTACTAGCTTCGCGAGCTTCTCGAGCTCGGTTTCGATTTGCCTATTTTTTGACAATTTTTTCTGGTTTTTTAACCCGGTTTCCCTGGTGCGAGGTGCAAAATGACCCAAAAAATATCGACAAAAACCTGGATACGGTATTGGGAAGGTGTAGCCGGTACCTCCATAACCATACGACCAGGGCGAGTAGTATTGGGCGGTCGAGAGGTGGATGAAGACGAGGAATAAGAGATCTAGGTATACATTAACTCGTAGTTTAATTTTTAAATTATTCGCTGTCCATATTATAATTCGATACAATATCGATAAATAAAAACCAGATAACTTTGAGTTTTATACTCTTCAAAATTATATATTTTTAAATTATCGAATTGGGGCTGAGCTTCTTCTCAAATTTAGTATTCACGATTCTTAATGCAAAAATATTTGCAAATGTAACAAGGCGAAATCAAGTAATCGAATATATCTGTAAAGCACTGTGACGGTTACTGTAATTTTAACTTTATCTGCCTTTCACTGTCGTTGTGAACGTCTAAGCGATTACGCAACGATCAAATTTGATTTTAATAATTTTAATACCTTCAAATAAAAATAGAAAAATTACTTCGAAACCTTTGCATCACCATATCGTACTGCCAAAAACCAAAATCAGTAAAAGGAGTAGCACGACAAACGGCTGAATGGCAGAATCGAGAGTCCCGAGCCCCCGGGGGGGCCGGGGGCGATAAGCCTACAGGCTTTTCAAATCCCCCAACCCCACTCGCAAAAAAGATAGGATGCTATGAACCGCCCCTGCTCACTCTCTCTCTCTCTCTCTCTCTCTCTCTCTCTCTCTCTCTCTCTCGCTCTCTCTGCTCCCTCTCCCTCTCCCTCTCTCTCTCTCTCTCTCTCTCTCTCTCTCTCTCTCTCTCTCGTCGACCCGACCGTACTCAACCGATTTGCCACTTGTCGCTACGGAACCGGTTGATTTTTGGGGGTGCCCCGGGCGGGATTAACCGGGGCGTGGGGCCGCGCTCTCGACATAGACCTTTTTATGACTACGTCGTGATACTGAGGGCGGTACGGGGATGAGTATATTAAGGTATACTATTTCAGTTTTAGGATTAATAAAATCGATACATGGCATATTACACACAAATAGTGAAAGATTTTGATCCGGTCGCGAAAATCAGGCAATTTGCACGACTTTGGGTTCCAGATTGCTTTAACGAAACCTGAACCTTGAAAGATGGCACATGACGTTGTTTT